ATTGTGTTTGTTAGGGACACAAGCTACATCCACACCCTGCCATGAAAGATTTGTCTGTTCTGTCTAGCCCTGACAATTACAATGAAGCAGTGTAATACGTGAAGAATGACTGCATCCCTCGCAGCTGCTTTAGAAACGGACCATCACTACAGCTTCCACCAGCAGTAGGGCTCAAGTATGATTTTTAACTTAGATGTAATTGATATTCTAGCGATGCACTCTCAAGTGAGTAGAAGCTAGTTGTTTGTGTGTTCTACTTGGTTTTGTGGCTCAGACTGTCAGGGACCAATGCTATCTTCTGCTGATGAATCCAGGACCAAAGTGCAAACGACCAAGTACAAACCTTTTAAGTAAAATCTGGAATAAGATATTTACCCCCCACACCCAAAAGCAAGAGCTGTCCTAGATTTGTCTGTCAAAGCCTGAGCGTGACTGCAGCTTTAACACAAAAAAACCCTGCTTTAACCCTGACTTCTCGACTGGGGTATTTAGGAGGGGTAAAAAGAAAGAAAATCCACAACTGATGTTTTTCTCCATTCTGGCTAAGAGCATCATTCAGAAGATCATACACAAGCCTGAAGCATTGGAAAATATGCTAAAGTGATTTAAAGCGGGGATTTGAAAATGGATGTCTGACTCTGGCTGTCTCTCACAACAGTCTCTTAACGCAAAAAAACACAGATGTCACAAACATGCATACACAAGCTCACCACGTGCACGCTCAAACACACAACAGGAACAGAGTCTCTTACTGTGAAACACACATCGCAAACTCGCTCTCTCTCACACACACACACACACACACACAGAGGGCAAAGAATTTTTGATCAATGAAAAACAATGATCGAAATACTTGGATGTCTTCAAATAAGCTTCCAAAAGCTGAAATGGCCATTTCCAAAGTTGTCATACATACACTCATACACAGACAGACACATGGTTAAGCCTAAACCCGCAACACCACATTCTCTGGTGCACTTTGCATAAGTCCTAAACCAGCTGGTGAGCAGGGTATTTCTCTGCCGAGCGTGTTTATGAGAGAGCTGAGATTCGTCGGCTTGATGTGTACGAGTGTGTGTGTTTTGGGCCCTGTGACTCAGATACCGCAGTGCTACGAGGGAGAGAGAGGGCTCCTGTCTTCCTACCTTTGTCATAGCATTCGCATGCTTCATAAAGTCTTCAGGAAGCGAGAGATATCTGAGGTTGCAGGCTAGGTGAAGATCATGAGATATGTGATATGTCATAACAGTCTCTGCCCTGTCCCACTACCAATATGCTTGGCAATACTTTCTTGTAAGTTGCTTTGGAAAGAAAGCATATGCCTTAAGCACAAATGTAATACGATTACTGTCTGGTACATACATATGCACACACACACACACACGCAAACAGATGTGTACGTAATTCACCCGAGAAGCAAATGAACATATGCATATCGTCGGTATGAGAGGGAGAATATGATAATTTCAACAGTAAGGGATGATGTGCCTATGGAAGATCAATGGCGTGTTAGATATGGGCATCTTGATGACTTCTAATCAAGGTTCATGAATGTCAATGGTAAGGAGGTTTATTGATATGCAGTGTGCTGCAAATATGCTAATTTCCAATTTAAGAACACTGTTATGTCCTCGTAAATGGCGTCCTATACTGCCTCTGTCCTCGCATTTGCATCAGAGACCTGAACGCTGTGATGGGGACCGTCGCAGCAGCAACAGTTGCCAGGGAAACCTCACCATAGGAACCAGTTGGGACACTGTGCCAGAGTATGGGTGCGCCAATATGTCAGATGACAATTGACACGGTGGTGTGCTCGCGTGTGGATATTTGTACGTGTTGTAGGCTAACAAGGTTTGACAAACACAGGCACGGGGACCCACAAAGATGGCACCCTGGCTCTGACAGTGTTTGGCACATTAGTGTGAAGGCGTGTTGCCGTGGCAACAGGGTGTTGACATGGCACAGTCGCACTTCTCTGCACTGATAATGGGTGACATTCTGAGAACAAGCTTGTATTAGAAACTCAGTCTCTCTTTCCTCTCTCTCTCTCTCATTTCTTTCTCTGCAGAGAAGAACGCTACCACCAGCCAAATCACATTCTGTCTGCATCTCGGGAGAACTGTCTCCACACTGTATATACAGCGGGGGAAATAAGTATTGAACACGTCACCATTTTTCTCAGTAAATATATTTCCAAAGGTGCTACTGACATGAAATTTTCACCAGATGTTGATAACAACACAATGAATCAGTACATACAAAGAAACCAAAACAAATAAGCTCAGAAATTAAGTTATGTGTAATAATGTGAAATGACACAGGGAAAAAGTATTGAACACATGAAGAAAGGGAGGTGCAAAAAGGCATGGAAAGCCAAGACAACAGCTTAAAACTATTAGTAATTAAAAAGCAATCCAACCCCCTGTCCGTGCACATTAATAACAGCTGGTTCAGTCCCAACGGATGGCCTACAAAAAGGTCTCATTGCCAAGGTGTCACACAAGACACATCTCATGATGGGTAAAAGCAAAGAGCTGTCTCAAGACCTTCGCAACCTAATTGTTCCAACACATAATGATGGCATTGGTTATAGGTGCATTTCTAAGCTTCTGAATGTTCCAGTGAGCGCTGTTGGGGCCATAATACGGAAGTGGAAAGACAATCATTTCACCATAAATTTGCCTCAACCACTGCTCCTCGCAAGATTTCTGATAGAGGAGTTAAAAGAATAATCAGAAGAGTTGTCCAAGAGCTAAGGATCACTTGTGGAGAGCTTCAAAAAGACCTGCAGATAGCAGGTACTGTGTTCTCAAAGAAAACAGTAAGTAATGCACTCCACCACCATGGCCCGTATGCACGCTCACCACGCAAGACTCCATTACTGAAGAAAAAAAGCATGTTGAAGCTCGTTTAAAGTTTGCTGCACAACATTTGGAAAAGCCAGGGAAATACTGGGAGAATTTAGTGTGGTCACATGAGAGCAAAATTGAATTGTTTGGATGCCATAATACACACCATGTTTGGAGGAGAAATGGCACTGCACATTACCCTAAAAACGCCATACACCTTGGTGTTAGCTCTTGGACAACTCTTCTGATTATTCTTTTCACTCCTCTATCAGAAATCTTGCGAGGAGCAGTGGTCGAGGCAAATTTATGGTGAAATGATTGTCTTTCCACTTCCGTATTATGGCCCCAACAGCGCTCACTGGAACATTCAGAAGCTTAGAAATGCACCTATAACCAATGCCATCATTATGTTTTGGAACAATTAGGTTGCGAAGGTCTTGAGACAGCTCTTTGCTTTTACCCATCATGAGATGTGTCTTGTGTGACACCTTGGCAATGAGACCTTTTTGTAGGCCATCCGTTGGGACTGAACCAGCTGTTATTAATGTGCACGGACAGGGGGTTGGATTGCTTTTTAATTACTAATAGTTTTAAGCTGTTGTCTTGGCTTTCCATGCCTTTTTGCACCTCCCTTTCTTCATGTGTTCAATACTTTTTCCCTGTGTCATTTCATATTATTACACATAACTTAATTTCTGAGCTTATTTGTTTTGGTTTCTTTGTATGTACTGATTCATTGTGTTGTTATCAACATCTGGTGAAAATTTCATGTCAGTAGCACCTTTGGAAATATATTTACTGAGAAAAATGGTGACGTGTTCAATACTTATTTCCCCCGCTGTAAGCTCCAAGGGTTACTTACAGTGGTACCTCAAATGCATGAGAAAAAGAAAAGACACAAACATAGAACAAATCAATGCCACCAAGTTTCACGATTTCAGTTGCCATTTTGTGTGCCATATATATATATATATATATATATATATATATATATGTATATATATCATTTTTTTTAAAATTTCGAAGTGACTTCTGCTAACAGAACATTTTTCATAATTATAACGAGTGTAATATTAGCTAATTATAATAACAATAACAATATTACAATTAAGATAACACTTGATTTTGAAAAAGAAAAAAACAAAACAAAATGAAACTAGATAAAAACAAATAATGAAAGACAATTATTATCATAGTAGTTTTGTTTTAAAAGAGCTCTATAAGTTTCTATAGTAGTCATTTATTTGTCCTTTTTCATTAAAAAAAGCTTTCCAAACTCCAATCTTGCTCACTGAGTGGGTTTTCTCTTACCTTTCAAAAGCTATCCTCCGTTGGCTTTCTGCTCAAACAGTAATGCCGTCCACATGTCTGGACACAGTGTTTGAAATAATCCATTTACCCCTGCTGTATTCACCAGAGTTTGTGTTCTGTTCTGAATCTCCTTCAATCACATTGGCAAAAAAAGCAGGGTCCTGGTAAAGTTTTTGTCTTGTACAAAACAAAGGGGACAGGCCATTGAGGGGGCCATTTTAAGGCCCATCCTTTTCCTTGTTTGGATTTGTTGTTGTGGCTTTGTGTTGCTTCAAGCAAATCGTTGTCATTGTCAGTAGGTCCACTGCTATTCCAGTTTAACTGAGGGGATTATCAGCTGTGGCGACAACCACTTTTTACACAAACATCACCTCTAGGTAAAAACAATGAAACCAAACAAAAATCTGCTATGCTTTTGACACTTGATGTTTCTCAATAATGATGATAGTAGTAGTAATGTAATGTCAACAGGAGCCTCTTTTTATTCAGTTTTCAAATCGGGTTTCGCTAAAATGTCCCCCCCCAAAAAAAACGCCTTTTCTCAGTATAGCAGCATATAGATAAACTTTTACAGTATTTTGTTTCATTGCATTACATAGTATCATCATTATTGTCTTATAATTCTGTTGATAATGGTGATTACTGATATCGACCCAATTTGGATCTCAAAGGCCTGCGGAATCAAACAGTAGTTATAATGTGAATTAAAATGACCTCTTCTCAATAACCCTGGTAGTTATAGAACAGGAAAGAGAAAACTTTTAAGACTTAAAAATCAAACACAATTTCCAGAATATCCATCCCTGTCCCTCTGTCTCCTCACGATGCCCTTAAGTCCCACAAGGGTGTACCAGTTTAAGACGCATTTTTGTTTTTATGCAGAGAAAGGAATTATCAGTGACAAAGCGCTACAACAGCAGCTGCTAATTCTTCAAAAGCCGTGGCTTCAGTCAGAAAAATGTAAAGATTCTTCATAATTTATTTCTCTGAATGAAAATATATTTATATATCATGTATACTTTCATAGTTTATATATTCTCTTAAAATTTGTATATCTTTCATTGTCTTTTTGCGCTTTAGGTTCTTGTTTGTTTTCATCTCTTCCCCTTAAATGTGACAGCCATTGAGAAAGGGGAGAAACTGAGTCCATCATCATCAAGAAACAGGCCCTCAACACAGTGCTGGTCTACTAATCCATCTTTCCTTCATTTGACCACGAACCTCTACAAAATTTGAATGATCCATTTTTGTCATCTGAGCTTTAAGGTTCTCTAAACCATTTACACACATGATCTTTCGTTCTCAGCCAGTGTCCATAAATACTTACGGTTGTTTATGTATTTCTATATACATTTCCTACCTAATGGTGCGTATGGTTTTGATTTTTGTAGCATCCTGCTTTATTGATGGAGATCTGTATATGATGGTGTACAGTTTACGCACAGATCTTTTCATCTTCTGAAATGTGTCTGTACACATGTTGATGTGCAAAGATTTTGCTTTGGCACAGATTGGTGCAAGTTTGGCACATAATTATCAATCTTGCATTATACAAAAACTGGATTTATATTGTATTGGCAAGTGTGGTTTTGTTTGCTGATGTCTGATGATCCCCTTGATACGTGCAGATCATAGTATGGCAAAGACTGTGATTTTAAACTGCGGTGTGGTTGCCTTCTTCCTTCTAGAAATTACCCCACTCTTTGCCAGCATATTTACTTTGTAGTGATTTCACAGCTGTATCTTGTATTCTTGTGTAGGCTATATTTCATACAATGCTGGGTCTGCCTTTCTCATTACTCCTGAGAACATACCCATAGGGGTTGAACAGCCAATACCTTTCATCTGTTTCTGTCTCCCTGATAGTCTTTCTCCATTTCTTATCTGTACATTTACCTTTCTCCCTTTCTCTCTTCCTCTCTTTCTCAACTTCAGATCTGGGTTTCTTGGACATTCTCCTTGGAGCCGCTCTTGAATAGTAACGGCTCAATCTGTGGGTTCTGCCCTTTACTCATCAGGCCTTTCAGTGACCCGTGGATGCCAAGGGTCGGCAGAGGCATTGAAGAAGGCATGGAACATGATGTACTACCTGCAGAGACTGGCACCTGCGTGCAAGAGATGGGGATATTCTGGGCCTGGGAGCAGGGCGAAGGGTTGTTGTTATTGTTTAGGCCTCCGCCCGAGCCTCCACCAAGGCCCAGACCCATCATGTTATTGTTGAAGTGATGGGCCTTGTAGTAATGGTTGAGATGCTCTGCTCGTGCAAGGTTTGGGAGGTTGACGATTTCAGGGTGGTGCAGTCGCAAGCTCTGTCCGCCGGACCCTCCTTGCGGTACTGTGGATCCTCCTGAGATGCCGCTGCCACGGATGCCCGTTCCCGCTCCGATTTCATCTTCGACGTTAATGATCTCGATGGCTCGTGCCGGCCCGTGGTGTTTGTGCAACTGGTGCTGCTTCCGCAGCTTGTAGAACACCACCAGCATGACAGCGGCCATGAAGGTAATTGCCACAAAGCAACCAATGATGATTTTGGTGGTCTTCATGACATCATCTAGTCCAGAGGGGTAGTTGGGCTCAGAAATGGGGATTGTGAAAGTGGGTTTGGTTGCTGTGGGAGAAGACGATGAGCCAAGGATTGAGAGAGAAGAGGCAGTAGTGGGCACAACTTTATCCCAGAGGTGCCCAGAAGGTGTCGACCCAGGAATGTGGATAATGGTCTCGTTGATGGCACGCAATGCAGATTCTTCATCCCCCGTATTCTCCACAGTTTCTACAGTGACCGTGGTGAAGTAGGTGTAGTTGACGCTAACGTCTGCTGCGGTCACATTCAGGACAGCAGTTGCCGTAGTGTTCCCAGCTGAGTTGGTCACCATGCAGGTGTATTGGCCAGTGTCACGCAGAGTTACATTGGTGAAATTCAGTGTGCCATCATGCAGCACGGAAATCCTGACCCGGTAGGAGCCATGGGTCATTAGGGTGCCATTCGGTGTGATCCAGTTCACAGAAGTCATGGAGGTACCGGTGCGACACTTGAGCTCAGCAGCCATGCCCTCTGTCACATTGAGGTCAGTGGGCGGCTCCACAATCACGGGGGCATAGCAGGTGAAATGGCTCTGGTCCAACTCTCCAATGTACTTTCCCTTTAGGTAGGGTGGTGCATGGCACCGTGCACAGCAGGTCGTGTTGCTCGGCACGGTTTCTTTCAGCCACCAGCTTAACCACAGCACATCACAGTTGCACACCCAAGGGTTGTGATTGAGATGTACTCGCTCCAGCTTCTGCAAGGGTGTGAAAAGGTCATGGGGCAAAGAGTGTAGGGAATTGTGGGATAGGTTGAGCTCCTCTAGGTTCTTGAGATCATCGAAAGCATTGCGCTCGATGACCGACATCTGAGAATGCATGAGCCATAGTTTGCGTAAAGATTCCAGGCCTTGGAAGGATCCAGGTCTGATGATTTCTAGACGGTTCCCAGACAACTCTAGCTCCTCCAGTCGCACCAGGGGAGTCAAGTTAGGGATGTCCTTCAGGCCACACATACCCAAGTTCAGGTAGCGCAAGTTGATGAGTCCAACAAAGGCTGCGTCAGATATATAATCCAGCTTTTTGAGTTCGCCTAGGTCAAGACGTCGCAGCGAGGGGACGCGGTGAAAGGCATAGCCTGGTAAGGTCTCGATTGGATTGTTTCGTAACCACAGTTCTCGCAGCTTGCTGAGGTACTCAAAGGCTTGCGATGGCACCAGTGTGAGGCGGTTGTCGAACAGTTCCAAAGTGTTGAGGTTTGGGAGGCCATTGAAAGCACCCACCTCTATCTGACGAATCTGGTTCTTGGAGAGCTGGAGGATCTCCAGGTGCCGCAAATGTTTGAATGTGTCTGATTTTATCACCTAAGTGAGAAAATTACAGGTACAAGTTTAGGATTAGAGTTATGTGTGATCAATTTGTTCCTGTGAAGGATGAACATTTTTGAAAATACAAAGTCATAGACAAAGTTTAAAAAAGTACATTCATTACTGACTGTTGTGCTTTAAAGATAAAATGTTTTGCAAGTTGTTATCATTCACTCTTAATGTTTGAAGAAAAACTGATTAAAGGGATAGTTCACCCAAAAATAAAAATTGTCATTGTTTATTCAACCTCATGTTGTTCCAAAACCGTATGCTGTTATTTTTAATCAATGACAAACAAAAGTTTTTTTTTTTTTTTTTGTTCATAGTGGCCACTTTTTCCATCTCTAGAAAGGACAAAAAAACAACAACATAAAATCATATTTAAAATTAAGCTATATGACAGCTATGTGCAAGGAACATAATAAAATTTAAGTTGCTGTTCATAGCATTTCTTCCTTTGCTGCAGCACTCAAATGTAATTTGACACATTTGAACTGGCATTTGAACAGTGTTCAGTTCTGACATGTTGTTGCACCATTTCAGAGGAGAAGATTATGAATAATAAATTAAAAACTTTGTCTTTTCTTCTCACGTCACGCACATTTATCATATGGCTTTAGGAGACTTGGAAAACAGCACATAAGTTGCATGGAATATGCTTATAGTGTTTTTTTCTGGATCCTAAGTGTCCACCAAAGCGTTTAGCCAACTGAAAACGCCAGCGCTCTTCTGAAAACGCTTGCTGTGTGTGCTTAAAGGGGTCATATAATGGTACATGCACTTTTACAAGTTGATTGTACTAAAATGTGTGTTGGCAGTGACTGCACACAACCATCATATAATGATAAAAATCCATCCAGTGTTTTTTTTTAATCTCCTTATATGTTTCCCCTGCCTCAAATCGAGCCGTCTGACCGTGTGACGTCACACTGTCGGACGCCCCCCCTCAATTGTTGATTGACAGCAGCGTTTCAACACAGACCCGCCCTGAGCGAGCTGTCATCATAGTCCGTCATTGTTGATACGCTGGAGCAGAATGGGGTCTAAGCGATTGTGATGTTCTGTTCTTGGGTGCAATAACGAACACAAAAGTCATTTTGATGTTCCTAAATCCGAAGCGCTGAAGACGCAGTGGCTGAGTTTTGTTTTGGAAGGAAATATTCCCCACCATCAACGTCAATGCTTTCATGTTTCCATGAATCATTTCTCACCAGACTGCTTTATAAACGAGGGTCAGTTTAAAGCTGGTTTTGCTAAGAAGCTGCTCCTGAAAAAAGAATCGGTACCAACTATTCGTGTTCCTGCTGAACCTCTAGAAGAAGTGAGTGTAACGTTTTATTAACCTTCATATTAATCTTTTCAAATTGCTTGCACGCTTCATGATGAATGCGGCTAAGGTTTACACTCAGGGTACATTACGGCATGTTTTCTATGTAACGTTACAACGTTCTCAATATAATTCATAATCCCACGTTTATAATGAACAACGCGTTATGGTTATTGTGTTATTACATACTGTGTACGCAGGTGTTAAAGTTAACGTCGTAACACTACACTAAGCTTACTTTTGTAGATAACGGTGTCTGTTACTGATTAAGTTATGTCAAAAAATCAAACTGATAGGGTTGCACAGATGTGTCCTCAGAGACTCCCGCTGCCATTCATTCTCCAAAATATACCCTCAACTGTTGTCAAGGCAACACTCCACGTGTGTTGTGTCAAAACGCCCCATAGAACAGAGAGGCGGGTTGATAAAGCTCATTATCATTTAAAGACACATGCACTTAAATGGTGTGCTGAAAACAGAGCTGTTTTTGATCAGGTAAAATTAGTGTTTTCTTACAATACATTTAGACCCTAAAGAATCATATTAACTTGTATAAAAATGGCATTATATGACCCCTTTGAGAACGCTTTGGTGGCACAGCGGTTTTTTCAGTTTGAGATGCCATATGTGGATTATCCCCCGAACAGTTACTAGTATCTGATTTCTCAGATAGTTTGTTTCTGAATATAAAAATGTCAACACAATGCAACGTTCTTGCTCTGGCACTAGTTTTGGATGAAGAGATGTGCTTGTTGTTTGTCATAGTTGTACAAGCAGGATGTGGCGGCTGGTCGGTGTGGAATTTGTCCCCTACAGTTCAGTAATTATGAACTGTAAGACAAATCACTGCATGAGGATTCCTAAAAAACAACTCCCCTTTTCCACAGAAAAAAGCTTATAAGTTTATAAGTGACATGAGAGTGACAATGACAGAATGTTCATGTTTTGGTGAACTATCCCTTCAAAACCCAACAGAATGGCTTGCAACTGTAAATCTTAGTAATGGTGAAGAAAAAATTACTTAAAGAGTAAACAACAGTCATAACAGAATATCAACAGTCTTATTAGAATTTGCTAAAACGTAATGAAAAGACCAGAGAATATCACATCATAAACACTATGGGTTCTGAAACCATTTGTCTCTGTGCATCTGATGTAGCCAGAACTGCTTTTCTTGGGCAGCGAGAAGCTTCCTCCTGGCCTACTGCCACAATCCCCTCTGTATATAGAGCAGGGGAGGGGAGGAGGGTGTTAAACACACTGGGTTGGGGGTGTTGAAGAGGAGGGTGGAAACTGTCAGAGCTGCACTCTTGTGGTAAAATGCTATGGAAGAAAAAGAAGCCAAAGAATCTAGGATGCCTTCAGGTATTAAAACATTTTTAGATTTTTAATCATTTCAAGTGGGGCTCGAGGACACAACAAACCAAATCAGAATTTTTATGCTTAAATGGAGGCTTGATGAAAAGCATTATTGTTCCTCATTTTTAATAGGCTTGTTTTTGGTTAACACTTTCAGTGCCAGGGTTAGCCGTAAATTTGCGGTTATCTAGAGAATAAATCTAAACCTTCACACTCAAAGTAGGGTGAAGTAGTAAAAGTAGTAAACGCGCAATTGAATGCCCCTCCTCCTCTCACTGATGATGCTATGACAATACTGATGCCAATAATTGTAATGTAGCGAGGAGTTTAACAACTGCTGGAATGGAATGTGAACGCCGAGTCGGAGATTCAATGTCATCTTTGATTTCTTCCAGTAACTGTAATATTGCGTAGCTTCTTAATCTGTAACGCTTAATGATTTCGTTTTCACTCAACTGAAAAAGTGTGATTCTTGTGGCAAAAATCTTTTCAGCTCGTCTCCTTAGCCTATGTCGTCGCCTTGCTCGGATTTCTGCTGCCATTTCACCAGGAAGCATATGCCATGAAACCCGCTTCCTAAGTTACACCTGCTTTTAAGAGGCGGAGAATTTTCAGCGCAAAAAAGAGGCACGCTTTCACCGCCTTTTTCTGTACATAACGCGGAATACATAATTAGGCGCAGTTTACGCTTCCCCTCCCATCTCTTTATGTGACACTCCCACTTTCCCCTTGACCATCCCATTATTGCATATGCATGACACGAAAAGCGAATTTTGCCATTTTCAGTTCCCGCAACAGGCAGTAGTCTGCGCTTTCATCTCGGTGCGTCCCGTTCGTGCATACCTCGCCATGGTTTTATGCGCACTTTGCGAAACAAATACGCCTGAAGTGGGCGCAAAAGCGTTAGTACATCTGGCCCTCAGTGTTCAAGCAACATTAGTGAAACTGATACTCAATAAAGCTAAGAAACAAACAAACAAACAAACAAAGATAAACGTCCTTCCCAAAGCCTAATGGGAAAAGAATGCTGTGGTCAGTATTTACCTGTATCGAGTTCTCCTGTAAGTTGAGGTATCGTGTGTTGTTGGATATACTGTCTGGCACCTCTTCTAAGTTTCGTCTTGTACAGATCACTCGACTGGCTTGATTAGAACAACTGCACGGCGTGGGACAGGTGGAGGCGGCTCCGACTGCGTCTTGGCCTGGGAGGATGAGCCGCAACAGCAGATGAACCAATAAGAGGAGGAGGGGGGAGGGACTAGGAAGGCTGGTCACCGTGGTGATGCGCATGGCAACTGGGTCATGACCCTTCCTGTATTCCAAAGAGGATGATAGGCTGATTCCAATGGCTCTTGAATGCTGTCTCTTTAACTGTTGCAGCTTCCTCCCACAAAGGATGTCACTTCTGCATTTTTCAGTCGAAATGTTCGGTCTCCTTGGTTGGTGGCGTGTTTTGTCCTTGTTTTTTTTTTCATACAGATACAATTACATAAGTTGTGTCATCTTTGCCTTAACAGGTCCTCTAATGTGACAGGCCGCTTTGTGATGAATACATGTTTTACTGCAAAAGAGAGACAAAGAAGAAAGCCATGTTTTTTTACTCTAACAGAGTCAAATATTTAAGGTTTGCATGATAGCTAAAATGCCACATAATAATTACTTGCAATCAAATGAATGTTGAAGAAAATGAATGCATCAAGTTGACAGGGGTTAAAGGTGTTTCCTTCTCTCGTCTGGAAAACTCAACTACTGTACATTTATAATGGATTCTTGTCTCTCTGTGCATATTAATGATCCTCTTGATAGGTATTCATGTTGTGTGTACTGTAACCAACCTAAAACACCATAGAATTCAAATTTATAACATCTGTCATAAAAACACAGAGACCCATTGAAATTTTGTTTCTAATGTTTACATCTGGGAAGCATAATGTAAAGGATATTTCACAAATGTATTGCTACCTGGAGTTTGGCAGTATATATATATATATATATATATATATATATATATATATATATATATATATATATATATATATATATGCTTTAGCCCTTATGTTGTGTAAGTCATTTTGACCCGGAGAGGATATTCTTTTCTCCAAAAATGTTAGATAATGTTATCACATTGAATTAAAACTTACTGACTTTGCTCACACAGGGTATGACTACTTCTCAAAAAATTTGGGATAATTTTTTATACTTTTTTGGGGATTTTCTCCCACCTTGTTAAACTTGTGGTGTTTCCGGTCCAAAATGACCAGCCTATAGAAAAATAGCTTATAAATCTCTTGTTATGCTTTATTATCACCAAATATTGGATTCAATCTTTTTGTCAACTTTTTTTCTTTCAATTAGGAAAGGTTTTGTATTTCTTTTAGGAACTGATTGATCGTAGGTCTCATTGATCTGAACTTATGCACCGTATGTAATCCAATATTTGGTGATAATAGAGCATAACGAGATTTACAAGCAATTTTTAAAAGGCCGATCATTTTTGACCAGGAACATCAAAGGTGTTACAGGGTTTTCAACACAGCATTAGGGTTAAAAGTCTAAAGTCGACATTAAATGGAAATTCACCTTAGTTATTTTCTAAATGCATCCTATTGATCTTATTGGGAATGATTAATATATGTGTACGTTTCTTTTCTTTCTTTTTTTAACTTGCGATTTTTAATCAAATCTTCCGTCGCGTCTAAATGATTACTTTTGAATCGTGTTCATCACTTACATTAGTGTTGGTCAGACTACCGTTCTTTTAATTTAAACCATGTATTATGTTGCTAGTGATTAACATAAAAAATATAAAATCACTGAAACCACAATTTTACTCGTATTTGGCGAGTGTTAATTCTGGACCCTGGCTGTATGCAATACACAGTCTGACAGAACATATCTGGCTACACTTACTCACCTTTACCAGATGTACGTATGTGCTCAGCTCCCTTGTGCTTTTCTGCAATAATACTGCACGTGTGAACTATGGTACTAATCTTTATGTCCATACTCGCCCATAGACTTGAGGCTCATGGGGTCTTAGAGCAGCATTAACTGGTGCAATGTGCTACAGCTGATGGATTGCTAATTCGACACGAACCCCATGCAAGGGGGCTCAGCTCTCTCACTGCAGGTTATTTAGACTCCAGTAACCTTATATAAGGGTATCCAATGAGACACAGGCTATTACTAATGATGATGGCCCTAATTATCGTACTCTGACATGCATGTTCATTTAACACATGATTTTACACTCGGCGCAGTGAAAAATAAGCGAGGAAGAGAGATAGGATATGGAGTGAGAGAGAGCAGGGCAGAAGGCAGAAGGATGGAGAGATTATTAAACTGATAGATGACTGTACAGCTGCAGGGATAGAAGAGAATCATCAACACTAATAGATGAATACTGAGACAGAGAGAGAGAGATCCAAGTGAAATGTGAACGAGAGACAGACAGTAAGGAACAGATATAGAGAGAAGGAAATGTTAAGAGGATGAGATAGAGGGTGAGGAAAGAGAGGAGAGGGAGAAACATTAATATTAATAATTTCTCCCAGAGAGAGAAGCATGAGGAAGGCTTAATAGAAAGGGATGAATATGAAACAGACAGAGATAGAAAGAGGAGAACGACAACATAGGTGCATCAAAAACAACAAGAGCACACGGAAGATGGGAGAGATGCAGAGAAGACTACACAAAGGAATGAATATAAAACAGGTAGAGAGAAGAAATAACTACTCCTGTTGTGTGTGTGTGTGTGTGTGTGTGTGTGTGTGTGTGTGTGTGTGTGTGTGTGTGTGTGTGTGTGTGTGTGTGATGGGGAGTCGATAAAATTAGTTTGAACACTCAATGAAATACACAATACAGTAGTACAATGACAATACAAACACACATCTAAGCATGTCTGTATGGGTCTCGCTCACTAATAATTGCATTCAGGTATACTTATATATGTGCACTGGAAAGAGTATCAGACAAATAATGGTAACACATCTGTCCACTATATGATTATGCAGTTTAGTCAAGAGTTCACCAAAGTTAAACTTTCTAATTCTAAAATTTCTTTACATGTGCAAACATTGATTTGCATGCATATGGATGGAAGTGAAAGTCTGCACCTGTCCATACCTGTTTAGACAATCTTTTCTCTTTGCAAATGTATTCTTACATGCTCTAAAGATGCAAGATCTTTCCTAACTTATCCTAAATTTAGATTTAGAGCATGAATTAATGAATTATGATTTCTGCATGAGAATATTTGCATACTCTCTTTAATAAGCACAAACACAAGGTGATGAACCCAAGCTCAAACACACACACACACACACACACACACACACCATGCATGTACACATGCACACACACACACACACACACACACACACACACACACACACACACACACACACACACACACACACACACACACACACACACACACACACACACACACACACACACACACACACACACACACACACACACACACTCTCTCTCTCTCCAGTCAGGGGAACAAATGTGACATCCCCTGCTGCTGCTTCAGTGACCATAACCAGTGTTTTACTGTATGCATTAGCATGCCGTTATGGGCAAAAGCCATTTGTAGAGCTGTCGTGTAACAGTAAGCCATGCCCCAGGCCCTCTTCTATAAACACTGCAACTCAAGCATCACTAATACTGTCACAGCTACCTGCAGCAATACCTGCATCAGTTGTTCCCTACTGCATCTGCTGGTAACCAGGTGGGTAACCAGCACTAGCCCCAAATTTGTTTTCAGTAGCCCCGGATCTTATGTTGTGTCTCTTCCACAATTTTAGTAGAAGAAAACTACATAAATGTGGAAAATATTAATGATTAAATGAAAATGAATACTTACAAATGAAGCTGTGAAGTTGACCTGTAGTTGTTTCCTTTCAGCAGTGGTTCTCAACCAGGGGCCGGGGCCCACTACGGGCCCTCAGCAAACTTCCAAGAGGGACTCAAGATGACTTAGAAGTATTTAAATTAATAAATTAGAGTTATGTTATATAGTTCTGGAATACAGAACATAACTTCTGGAATCACAAAATGAATGGTGTTTAATTAAATATATAAAATGAATTAGCCCTGTTAATGGAAAAAAGAAAGTTTGAAAACAAGCAGCTTTGTCATAATTACAGCAGAAATATCTTAGAGTATGAATATTGTATTGGAAAATGTGGGACCTTCAAGCCAAAAAGGTTGAGAACCATTGCCTTAAGAATCTATTTCTACTAGACTTAACCCTTAATTCAATTTTGCTGATGTAACCTAATAAATGTAGGTTGATTCATAGATGTTAAAAATATTTTTGAACTGAATAAACTCAATTAACTTAGATGTTCTAATGCCACAAAGCAAACTGTTTTTGGTTGACAATTTTTTTATGTATAAAAGTTGTCCATTCAACTCAAGTATTCTGAATATGATAGTTTTATGTGAGAAAATGTAAAAACAAAACTTAATTTTGAATCTGTTGATTCATTTCACAAAACCGGTCTAAATGATTTGTTCACTTATAAGACTGATCTGGTTCTGGTTCTTCTCAGCTCCACGACTGATCCAGTCGCAGTGGTTCTCAGGTTAACAGCTCACTAGAGGAGAAGATTCCGTACAGTGATTTTAATTCAGGTCTTTTTCTCAATGACTTGAAATATTTGAAATATTACATTGGCATTTCTTAAGCATGTTAACAAGTAAAAAAATAAAAACAATGTCAGATTCATTAATGGAGCTGTCTTTCTAAATATGTGTGGACCAGGAATCCTGCTACAAATATACCCAATTAAACATTTTATTTATTTTATGGACATTTAGAGATTCATAAATATTTATAATATAACATTATACTGTTGTTTGCATAATAATGATTTCATAATACTAATGTTTTGGTGCTATATACACTTTTAGAAAACAGTTCAATGTGGGCAAAGGGGAAACATACTGTACCTGCATTCATTTGCAAGGAGGTTTAACAGCATGACTTAACCAGGTTACATCTGATGTTTAAAATGGATCATGGGCTCAGTCCCTAAAGTTTGCAGAATCTCATCACACTCGTTCGTAACGTTGCATTTTGTGAGACAAAAGAAAAAGGCAAGAGCGTTCACCAAGAAGTAATTATTAAAACATCATCCTTGAAATTACGGTCACCTTATTTTATCTATTTGTGTTGTGTCATCTTCATGCATGATTGACAAGACCCACAATTAGCTCAAAGTGCCAACTGCCAATTAAATGGCTGTAATAGGAGATAGCATCTGCTGTGATGTTGATGGGAAATGGAGTCCAAAATGACAGTGATGACAGGAAATTGAGTCAGCTGTGAGCCTGTTGGGAAATGTGGTTTGAATGGTTGGCACATGAAATGTGTTTGCAGTGTGTACACGAGTCACTTTTATCCTGTTATGGTCACTGCCCCACACACACTCGAATTCTCAACCCACATTGAGCCCTTTATCAAATGCTTTGTGTCTGTCCATTAACATGTTAAACCCCACTGATTGCCTTTATCCTCTCTTCCATTCTACTCTCTCTCTCTCTCTC